GAAACCCTGTATATATAATATTTTATACATATATATATTTAGTATTCCTATTATATGAAGATGTTGCATAGTAGGACCAAAGAAGTAAAAACAGGCCACTAGATTTAGACCTCTCTAGTTTTCTGTTGTTGAAAGCCACAAGTTAACAAGGGATAAAAGGAAAATCTTTCTTCTTGAAGGGCTAAAACTACCAGGCTTCTCTCTTTCCTTTCTCTTGGTATTGTTTCTTTGTCCACTTATCTCTCTTTCCTCATCATGTTTTTCATGTTCTTCAAATCTTAGCTCAAAATTACCAGCAGTAAAAACCTGACTTTGACCCACCTGGCTGTCTTCTTCCACTTTGATTCTGCTGTGTCAGCTGTGCCTTTCCATGACTGTTTGACAGCCTTTTTTGGTGTGAGAATTTTAAAATGATATCAAGGGGTATGTCTTGCCAAATGTTCATTTCAAGAAAAAGCTGGCACCGGGGAGTCAGTCAGTCACATCGCTAACGCATGTTTAATTTGCCAACATTTTTTTCATAGCAAGTCTTCCCTGAAGAAGGAATTAGTGAGAGTTTCATTCACTGTAAAGTGGCACTTTAATAACAGTGAACTAGGTGGTAAGGGTGTTAATGGCCATTTTCCTCTTGCCAGTCCTGTGGGAGTGTGGAACAGCCTGACGTGAGGGATCCGATGACTGGTTCATGGTGAGGTGTTATCTTCACAGAGTGATAATCACTAATAAGAGGTGAGACTTTTGAGTGTTCACTCTATGTCAAGGCCTGTTCTATGTAGTTTGCATGAATGAGCTCACTTGAACCTTACAGTGACCAGTGAGGTGGGTACTCACATTGTCCCCGTTCTGCAGAGGGAGAAACAGAGGCCCTAAAACGGGTGGGCAACCTTTTTGTGAGTGCGTGCCCAAACCAGCAAAATCTCTGACATCTCTGACTCAAAATTCTTCTGCGTGCCAACCCTAATTTTTTGAGAACATGTTACGCCTACTTGATATCTCTTAAGGTGTACGTATGTGTGTGCTTATGAGACTTAACAAAATTCATCACTGAGAACAAAGATTCATAAGCATATGTGAATGAAACCAAAACACTGTGGTCGGGTCGGAAGGCAGGGAGAGTTAAGGCAGAGGCATAGAAATTGCTCTTCCCCTTTCTCGTCAATCCATGCCTATGGTCTTTAAGATAACTTGTTATGTAAAATTATTTATCTAAGATGCACCTACACTGAATTTATCTGAAAAATAAAAAAGTCGATATTAAGAAAAAAAATTGTAAATGGAAGATTGTAAGAGAGGGTTTCACGTGCCAGCAAAAGTTACTGGCGTGTCATGTTTGGCACACGTGCCAGGGGTTGCCCACCCCTGCCCTAAGAAATTCATTAACTTTCCCCAAACTATAATGTTAGTAAGTGGCTATGTCAGAATTCAAATCCAAATCTGTTTGACACCAAAGTCGTGCTATAGCTAGATCACAGTTGTACAACAGAAACTTTTGCAGTGATGAAAATATTCTGTGTCTGGCCGATGTGGCTCAGGGGTTGAGCATCAGCCCACACACCAGGAGGTCACCAGTTCTATTCCCAGTCATGGCATATGCAAGGACTGTGGGCTTGATCCCCCGCAGGGGGCATGCAGGAGCAGCCAATCGATGTTATTATTTCTCATTGATGTTTCTATCTCTCCCACTCCCTTCCTCTCTCTCTCTCTAAATATCAATAAAAACATTTTTAAAAAATGTTTTGTATATGCTGTGTGCAGTATGGTAGCCAATAACCGCATGAGTACTTGAAATGTGGCTAGCTCAACTGAGGAAGTGAATTTCCAGTTTCATTTTATTTTAATTAACTTATGATTATATTAAAGTAGCCATATGTGGCTAGTGGCTACTAAATTGGACAGCACAACTCTGGATACTTTTTGTATGTTGCAGACTATAAGCTAATGGGAAAACCAAGTCAGGAAAATACATTAATAGAATATGCTATTTTTCTCCATTTCTAGAGTTTCCCTAGATCCCACATTAAAGAAAAAAAGGCTGATCTGTTGCCATATGGAAGATTCAACTTAAAAATGAATTAGTGACTGCTCCTCTGGTTCAGGCACTGTACTAGGCTTTGGGCATTCTAAATTACCAAGCTACGGTTTCTGTCTTCAAGGAGCTCATAATCTTAGTAACTCTGAAGAATATTTTAAACATTTTTTCCCAGAGTTTCTTCATAGATGATAACACAGAAATTTAAATCTCTCCTCTCTAATTCTTTGCAGTGTTTTGCCTTCATTTTTAATATTTTCTTAACAAACATAGACTATTCTTTTTTTACTGCAAAACAGACTTATTGATGCCAACTCTGAAATGTTGCTGGAACCACTCTCCTCATAATCCATTTACAATTATCCATTTTCAGAAGTGTCAGTCCTATAGTGTTCTGGTTACTTCCAATTATTTGTCTAGTCCAGCGGTTCTCAACCTGTGGGTCGCGACCCCTTTGGCGGTCGAACGACCCTTTCACAGGGGTCGCCTAAGACCATCCTGCATATCAGATATTTACATTACAATTCATAACAGTAGCAACATTACAGTTATGAAGTAGCAACGAAAATAATTTTATGGTTGGGTCACAACATGAGGAACTGTATTTAAAGGGCCAGAAGGTTGAGAACCACTGGACTCTAGTCTATTTAAAATCCCAACCACATCTCCAAATGTTCCTCCAGTTCAAGTAATAACTGGGACTAGTAGGGGGAAAAGGGTGCCTTCTAGCTTCCTCTTTCTAGTTCTAATTGTTGGAAGTTAGAAACTGAGAGGGTGGCATAGGACCAAAGGGCCAGCTGTCTCCTGCTTAACTAGGCCATCCTCTGTCGGTTTTTGCTTCTTTTCCTGGCTAACAGTAACTGATCTTTGATACCTTCTGTATGAGAGGGTTCTAAAGTTGGATATGTGTGTGAGTTCTTCCACATTCCATATAGTGGCCTCCCCCCTGGCCTTCTGTGGGTGATCAGGCTTCACCTCCCCTGATGGTACAGCTCAACAGTTCTCATTATCTGAGTCCTATTGGAGGCCAGGCTTGATCACAGCTTTGCTGGATCAAACGCTGGAAACAAAATATGATACTTTTCTCCATTATTTTTTTTCTTTGCCAGGTAAGTTTAAGAGCAAGTCAATAATACCATTAGCTGATATGATATCCAGCCAAGGGATAAAATGCCAGTCTGTATTAATCATCTCTGGCTGCCATAAAAATACCATACCTGGACTTCTGGAAGCTGGGAAGTCCAAGATCAAGATCAAGATCAAGATACTGGCTGTTTCAGTTCTCTGATGAGGACTCTCTTCCTGGATTGCAGATGGCTGCCTTCTCACTATGTCCTCACATGGTGGGGAGGAGAGAGGAAGCAAGCTCTCTAGCGTCTCTTCTTATAAAGGCACTAATTTTATTATGAGGGCCCCACCTTTATGCATTCACTTAACCTGATTACCTCCCAAAAGCCCCATCTCCAAATACCATAACATTAGAGGGAAGGGTTTCAATGTGAGAATTTGGGTTCAAAACATAATCTCTCTGTGTATAGCCACATAACAATTTTCATCCTGTCCTCAGCTTGAGATTTCAATCTTTGTCTTTCCCTGACTGGTATTTTAGTCTCCTGTATATGGACTGGGGTTGGGCTCTTGAAGTGGAGTTAGTGATTTGTAAGTCATAGACATATTAAGGATTTGCCTACCTCTGCGTTAGTCCTGGAGCAGGTATCTGATGTAGCTATGAAACTCCTATAGATTGTGGGCCAACCTAAAGCTTCTTTATTCCCAACATTGGGTTTTAGTCACCAGTTCCAGGGAAAATGTCAAGCTACATTTAAAATCCTATTAAAATATCATTCCTCACCCACCCTCTTGAATTCTCAGCCTCCACAAGAAACATTCCCTTTGAGTAACACTACTTCAAGGCCAGCTCAAATGTACCTACTCACTGAAGTCTTTCCAAGTTCCTTATCTTCCTCATCTCTATAGAATTAATTGCCTCACTCTATTTTACATGGGGCTTTCTTCACTCTTCTATTGAAACACTAACAGCTTTATTTAGTTTTTTAAAGTTTTCCCCATGCACAGGTTGGTGAGTTCCTTAAGTATTAAAACCAGTTATTAGAGCATCTAGTATAGGTCCTTATATACAGTTTTGAGTAAATATTTTTCAATAAATAACTCAAGAAAGTACCAGTATACAAACATATATATATTGAAAGTCTAAACTTTTGGACTTAACATTATATTAACTTTTAACTATATCAGTAACAGTCAGAAATAAGATTATACATACAATTTTATTATTAGTATAGATATTCTTTATATCATGAACCATTCTGATCTTTGGTTAAAGTGTTTCTTAATTTATTTTACAAAATAGGATTTATAATGCTTAACTCTTTTAAATACTGTAATTAAGTTACACTACCTTTTAAGTAGGAAACATACTACTTTATGGTTTCCTAATGGTATAATCTGTTGGCATAGTTAAACTCCTTCAAAATGACATATTCCTTGAAAACATGATGTATTTTACTACTGAGTGTCTGCAGGGAGAGTTTGTCACTTCACTCTTAGAATAAATGTTTGCAACTTAGAGATGGTTGGTAATGACACTGAGTCCACAAACACATTTAACCTCACATTTGCTTTGTGGGATTTTGTGTGTGTGTGTGTGTGAGAAAATAAAAAAAAATTCACTGGAGAAATGTATGAAATGTTATAGTTTCTTTTAAATGATGTATGATTATTTGTCTTTCAAATGAAATAGTCAACATGGATTTGAGTTAAGTTATGGGGAAGTCTGAAGGTTTTAGGAAAAATTAACCCCCCCAAATTCCGATTGACTTCTGAAGCTTTCTCCATATGAGTCTTCCTGTTTGTCTAGCCTGATCTGTGTGGCGGTAACTAAATGTGAGGATGGGAGAATCGTTCAGTACATACTTTTAAATCATTTTACCCCTCTCCTTGACTTCTACAGAATTCATTTCCACATACGGCCATCTGGTTCTTTGAAGCAGTACCCCATCATGTGCCATGCTGGTATTGTCACAGGACACAGAGAAGTCAATGTTAGCATATAGCCAGCCAACAGGAAGTCATGTAAGTAAGGTTTTAAGAATTATATCAGGCAGTATAGATTTTTTAATGTAAGCATGTAACGAATAATAATGAAGATGTGGCAAACCAGGTGAAGTTATATATAGGGTGTCCCAAAAATGCATATATATACTTTTAATATTTATAAAAGTAGTGTTTGTTAAATTACATTTCATTTTCAAAATTGAGCTATCAGCTGTTGAAGTGTGCATACATTTTTTGAGCACCTGTATATACTCAGAATTTTTTAAATGAGCATTTTGGCTATAAAGGAAAATGCCATTTGTCATAGAATATTTACGGCATTTTCTGAGGACAGAGAACATTGCATATATCAGAGGTGGGCAATATAAATTTTTTTCTGAAAAGAGCCAGGTGGTAAATATGGTAGGCTTCGTAAGCCAAATGATCTTAGTCATAAGTGCTCAGCTCGGCCTTTTGTTGTTTGGCAGCCATAGACAGGATGGGCGTGGCTTTCTTCCAACAAAGTCTTATTTACAAAACAGGTGAAAGGTTTGGCCTGTGGGTCATAGTTTGTCCACTGTTGGCATGCAAGATGAAGACATTCTACATCTCATTTTCTGTAATTATTTATGTTAATTTGAAAGGAACTGGAGAGCTTAAAATTAAATAATGAATGCAATTCCACTACTCAATTTCTGAGTGATTTTGCCACTGTCAAGAAAGTAGAGAACAATGTAGACTAGGTTTTTTGAATGGCATATTGAAACTTTTGAAAAATATTTTGGGATAATGTAAATTGAAGTTCAGCCTCAAGAACTAAACAAAATAAAGTCACAGACATGAAAACCCAAGAAACTGACTTTCTCTTGATAAAGTGAATACACTTTTATTTTATTTTTACTTTCAGTAATATTAGCTCTTTCAGAAAAAAATCCTGGAGCATGTGTATAGATCAGGAAAAAATATGAAATAAAGGGTTTATGAAAAATGAAACTCTTTACAAGAATCTTAGGAGGAAAAGGTAAATTCCTGTCTTGGGCAATCATTTCTGGCATCAGAAAATAATAAGTAAATAAACATTGAAAGGAAAAGTATGAAGAGCATGCTTTTTTCCTATAATTACCTACAAAGTAAAACTTATCCTTTAACTTCATATCCTTCCTTGAAACTGCTCTATTTCCTAGAATTTTAATTAAGAATTCCCCAAACTCAAGAAACGTACTAACAGTCTTGGGGAAAAACACATACTAGGTATTGCTACCATTGAGGATCCCAGTAATCATTAAGAAGTAATATGTCAGGATAAAGAAGGATTCATACTAGGAATGAAATATGATTTCTATTAGAGTAATTTATCATATTCATTGGTCTAAGGGAGAAAAGGCATATGTAGCATATGTTAATCTCTATAGATGCTGAATAGTCATTTGACAAAATGCAACAGTCATTCTGCATGTTAAGAAAAACAAAAGATGACTCAATAGAGTAAGAGTTAAACATATTATGACCATGACAAGCTGACAGGTTGTTTATGCACTAACATGCACATACACAAACATCTGAGCCCGGACACAGCCATATAAGTAATGTCAAAATGCTACAGGCTTTCTGCTATGTCTGCTATAAGTACAAATGAAATGAAAAGGGTGCATAGTTCTCACCATTAGCGAAGCTGTGCCTGAGTTATTAGTCAGCAAAGCTAGACAGGAGAAAGGAATGTGAGGATAACATTTAGGAAGGTGAAAGTAAAACTGTTATTTGTGGGTGACTTAATACTTAGAAAACCCAAAAGAAGCTAAAATGTTTCAATTCCAACATCTAAAAGAGGAAAAAAGATAAATCTGACACATAAGAAAATTTTTTTTGGTTGGCAAAAACAAATCAAAACAAAAAACCCCAGCTATGCTGGGGAAATTCTACAGGAGAATCATAAACTAAGAAAAAATATCTGCCTCTCAAATAACCAAGCGTTTTCTCGCTGGTATGTTAAATTGTGGGGGTGTGGGGAAGTGCAAAGCAATAGAACGATGGGCAAAGATTATGAAGGGATAGTTTGCATTAAAAGAAATACAAATTCCATTTCAACTCATAACAATATTCAACCTCCTATAAAATACTCGGTTTTTACATTTTATTTAAGAACTATGGGAATGTAAGTATATACTTATAAGTTTGCTTGCATTTCATAGGGGCAGTTTCAAGAACCCACAGGAACTAATAAAAATGGTTGTCTGAATAAAGACAAGAGGGTGGAGGGAAAACAGGGTGGCCAGGGACAGGAATCAGGGCACGATTTCTAAATGGATACCTCTCATATTGTTTTGTTTTTTAACCATGTGGATAGATTACTTTTATAGAGAAAAATATTATAAAATGTATTTTTTTTCAAATTTGTAAAACGAGGAATTGCATCTCATTTTATTTTGTATTCTTGATTCTTATAGACATTGAATTTTTTTAAGTTTTTATTTATTATTCATTGTTTCATTTTTTGAAATTATATCTTCAGTTCCCTACATTGAGAGATATTTTCATTTTTGTAAACCAAATTTTCTAATTCCCTACAACAGTGGTCGGCAAACTGTGGCCCCTTGAGTGTGGCTCTTCCACAAAATACCACTTGTGGGCGCGCACGTACAGTGCGATTGAAACTTTGTGGCCACACTCAAAGGGCCAAAGAGCTGCGTGTGGCTCACGAGCTGCAGTTTGCCAACCACTGCCCTACAATATAAGCAACCAGTACATTTTAACATAGTTATTTCACTTAAAAAAATCTGTTTATCTTATCATTTTGTTTACTATACATTAACTTACAGGACTTCGTGATTTTTATTTTGTCAAATCTATCAATCTTATTTTCTTAAGTATTTAAAAAATTGTTTTAAAGCCTATCCAGGATGATATACTTATATATTTTTTAATAGAATGTCTTTTTTTTTTATTTTAATTCTCACCTGAGGATATTTTTTCCATTGATTTTGTTTTTTAGAGAAAGTGGAAGGGAGGGTGGAGGGGGAGAGAGAGAAAAAAACATTGACATAAGAGAGACATGTGGAGTAGTTGCCTCCTGCTGGAGGGTTCTCTTTTTTTCTTTAATTATTAAGATATTACATATGTGTCCTTATCCCGCCCCCTACCCGTCCTCCTCCCACCCATCCCCCACTCATGCCCTCACTCCCCTGGTGTCTGTGTCCATTGGTTTGCTTATATGCATGCATACACATCCTTTGGTTGATCTCTCCCTCTTGCTGGAGGGTCCTTGACCTGGTCAAGACTGAGGGCTGATGCTCTAACCACTGAGCAATCTGGCAGGGCTAGAATGCCCTTTTTTTTTTTTAAGCTGGAATTTGTCATATGATGTGAGATGAGAATATTATTCTCCTAAATAGCTAACCAATGGCTTCTCAGAGTGTTTGTCAAATAATGTTCCCTTACCTGCTGTGTCATGACTCAGTGTTTCATGAAGTCATCTGTTCATACTTCAGTGACAAATTTATTTTTTTGTGTGGTCAATTTTAACATCTACTAGGTCTAGTTCCTCTTTATCACTTCTCTATCTCAAAATAATTTTCACCAGTGGATTTTTCCCTATCAACTTTAAGATCATAGTGTCAGTTTAACTTTCTATATCCACTTATATGTCAAGTTCACTTCCAATTTTACTTCTTCTGAGATAATTTGGAAAAATAATAACTCTGTAGTGTATAGTGTTCCCATCCAGGAATAAAGTATACTTCTCAAATTATTTTGAGGATGGTCTTAGGTGACTCTTGTGAAAGGGCCGTTCGACCGCCAAAGAGGTCACGACCCACAGGTTGAGAACCGCTGTTCTATTGTCTGATTTTATTGACTTTTATTCATATTCAATGCATTCCTTATCATGTTCATTCTTAAGAATATAATTTTGTCATTAATATGAACTAAGTAATTTTTTCTACATATTGCTAAGATATAGAATGCTGAATATGAAAATTTTTGTTATTTAATTTTTATTTATGATTATTTGGTTCTAAACCATCTCATATAACTTGCTGTTTTAGTTCTTATGATGCTTCATGTAATTTGCTTAGCTTTGTTAATTAAATAATTGAAGAAGAATGTACCAGTAGTGGTTTTATTATTTTGAATAATTATAACTATAGTTTCTATTTTTCTGCCATTATTTGTGTTAATCAGAAATTCCAGAAAAATGCCAAATAATATCACCAGAGTATCTTATTCTGATTCCTGAATACAATGGGAATGAATACCCATAATGATTTGATAGTAAGCTTGACATTGCTATTAAATTGAAGGAGATTTTTATTATCTTAAGAAATTATTATTCTATTCCTTTGATTAAGAATTTTTTTTTTTAAAAACAGGTGCTGACTTTTGTCAAATGCATTTTTAGGGCACAGTTGGTACAGTGTTTGGAGATCGGCTCACTAGAATTTGAAGCCCTCTCTGCCACTTAGTAGCATTGCTGTCAGTGTTATCATTTGTCAGATGGACACAGCAATGGCTCCTGCCTCATAGAGGTTCTATAAACAGCACATGAGCTAAGCCTTTAGCCTGTTATGCATGGCCTTTGGATTATAGTAGGCACTTAATAAGCGATAGCTATTACTCTCACCTATTCAGATGACGACACATTTTTTCTATGGCACAACTTAAAATGAAAGAATGTGAGCAAAGCAACTCTGACACACATCAGAAGACAGTGACTTACCTCACTGAGAGCATATGTCTGTCTCCCCTGTGTTGGAGCACCTGTGGTTCAATTCACACCCTATTTCCTTCCTTCTCAGTATGTCACTTACCTTTAAAAAACGGGTTTGCTTTGCCTAGTCAACAAGATTAAGAAACAAGTTTGTGTTCTTGCTTTTCAGAACTCTATTTATTCACTTATGGGGAGGAAGGGTGGAGTTCCATCAAATACTAATTTTTGAAACTCTGGATTTTTTAGTTATAATGGGGGATAATGTGAGATGTGTTTATTTTTGGTCATGTAGCAGTGTATATTTTATCACATATTTTTGTTTGTCTTGTTTTGTTTA